GGTACGTAACTAATCAGCAAATCGTTCGCTTACCTCTAGTCTTATCTGTGTTGTCAAGCTAAAACAAATAATCTGCCACCCGATTCGCCTCGTTGCCAATCCCGCACAAATTCGGCATTGTGTGGCGGAGGACGCGTGCTCAACGAAGTCACGTTTCGAGCTTAATTGTCGGACGAAGGAGATGACAAATTCAAGTCACGTCGAAGGGGAATCCAACGAGAAACTATATACTTTAGGAAAAACGTAGTCGAGCGAGACGCCAGAGGGAACGGGACAGTCGCGCGATATTAAACCCCCGCCGATAATGAAATGAGAAAAAGTTAAATCGAACCGCGATCTCGTAGTGGCGCAAGGATCTCTCTTCCGGTATAAAAGAAGGGACACGTCAGTGAAGATCGAAAAGCGATCGCGCGCCGACAGAATCCCGCAAATATTCAAAACTCCGTCGAGGCCCCGCGATCGCGCGTCGTCCTCTCGTTCTCTCCGCTGACACGCGCAACGTGCGCGATCCGGCAGCAACATGCACTGCACACACGGCGTTTATTTTACGTACCGGTGCGTAAAAAAGTAGATCACCGGGAAGTTACGGAGACCCCTCCGTTTTCACGTCGACGTCGTCGCCGTCGTCCGGACACGCGTCTACTACTTACCGAACCAGCGGGGACTCGGATGGACGGACGGCGATGACGCGCGCCGCGCCGCCGACGATCAATCGCGCACGGGAGGTAGACCCGACGGATGCGGCCGAGCGTCGACGAGGAGGTGGCGGCCCACGTTTCCACCGCGGGTGACTGAGCGGCCGATATCGCGCCCCGTTACCTCTCTTTCTTTCTCTCTCTCTCTCTCTCTCTCTCTCTCTCTCTCTCTCTCTCTCTCTCTCACTCACTCTCGGTAAGCAAACCTCGAGGAGTCTCCCCCGTGTGGGCGAAATCGCAACGCGCGCCTTCACCCCCGACGTTGTCGTCGTCGTCGCCGCCGTCGCGATACTACGTCGTCGATATCCGCGGCCTCACGGGTGATGGGGAGACGCTCGAAGGGAAAGGATAACATCCTCGCGCGCCGCAGGAACTCGAGGACGACGTTGGTCTCATCTCTCGCGATTCTCTCTTATGTATACTTGTATACTCGCGCGAATACCAGCGTGCCGTGGTATCGGGGCGGCAGACGGACGGATCGATTCGTCGAATCGCGTGCGCCTCGTCTCGGCATCGCGAGGAGCGAGGATCCTTGCGACGCGAGCGATCCGTTATCTACAACGTCGTCGTCGTCGTCGCCGCCCTCCACTCTCTCTCTCTCTCTCTCTCT